AAGCTGAAAGTTGTAAAGTTTGCCAAGGAACATAATAACTGTGCTGCTGCAAGGCAATATGGAGTAACAGAAAAGATGGTCCGAGACTGGAAAGCAAATGAAGATGCATTAAAGAGTATGCCAAGTAGTAAGTGTGCATTAAGAAGAAGCACCCCACATTGGTCAGAACTTGAAAAGCACGTAGCAGACATGGTGCATGAGCATCGTCAAAATGGTTATGTAGTGACACGAAACAAAATACGTATGTTTGCACTTCAGTGGGGCAAATCTAACCCAGATCACAGCAAAGGATTTAAGGCCACTGTATCCTGGTGTACTAGGTTCATGGAAAGGCATAATCTGGTACTGAGGCAAAAGACCAAAATTGCACAAAAATTACCTGCAGATCTCGACGGAAAAGTAAGTCTTTTCCATCGATATGTAATACAACAGCGCAAGAAACATGGCTATGCGTTAAGTCAGATCGGAAATATGGATGAAACTCCTATGAATTTTGATATGGTTGGAAATAAAACTGTTAATCCAAAAGGTGCAAAAACAGTGTTAATTAAAACAACAGGACATGAGAAGTCCAGTTTTACAGTGGTACTAGCATGTAGAGCTGATGGCGCCAAACTAAGGCCAATGATTATTTTTAAAAGAAAAACAATGCCGAAAATCAAGTTCTCTGTTGGAGTTTTTGTACATGTGAATGAAAAAGGCTGGATGGATGAAGAAGGGGTAAAGCTATGGCTTGATAATGTATGGAGTAGGCGACCAGGTGGACTTCGTCAAGAACGAAGCCTACTGGTGTGGGATATGTTCAGGGCTCATTCAACTACCAGCACAAAGAAAAGGCTGGCAAGAATAAACACATATGCGGCAGTTATTCCTGCAGGATTGACATCATTGGTACAGCCACTGGATGTGTGCCTAAACAAGTCATTTAAAGATCGCATTTGAGAACAGTGGAATGAGTGGATTGTTAGCGGCGAAAAGTCATTCACAAAAGGAGGAAACATACGTGCGCCACAATTGGATGTTTTGTGTAACTTTGTCATAAAAGCCTGGAATGATATTGATGCAGAAACAGTAATCAAGTCTTTCAAGAAATGTGGCATATCAAATTCTTTGGATGGTATGGAGGACGACTTCTTGTGGCAAGATGAAGGGGAAGCCAAAGCTGAAGCCACACCATCTGATTCGGAATTAGATCCAGATGATGACTGTCTTACAAATGTACCACAAGATGTCATTGATGAACTTATGATGTCAGAGGATGAACGTGATGAGGATTTTGAAGGATTTTAAGTACCTGCAAGTCAAAACCATTTTAATTAAAATTATTTAAATCAAATCTGATGTTATTAAATGGTGTTGCCTCAGAAGGGGGGGTAGTCTTATACGGCGAGTATAGGCCAAAACCTATGTTTTAACTGGAAAATTAGGGGGTCGTCTTATACGCCCAGTCGTCTTATACGCCGGAAAATACGGTAGATTGTAACCTGGAAGAGCCAGGACAGATTGTACAGGATTGTAACCTGGAAGAGCCAGAACCTGGAAGGCTGGTGAGTGGGGCTCGCCGCAGTTTGGCGAGCCCTGGTAATGCAACTATGGATGCCACAGTCTTGCTTCAGGGTCATAGTGGTCTTTGTAGGTATTAGCTTTCTCTTGATCAGTGTTGGCAAAATCATGCCTGGGGCTGGATCTGGTCCCCCCCCCAAGAATTTCCCTGTGATCTGCTCAGCTGATTAGCAGAACATCCGTACTTATAGTCAGCAGCATGGTCAGCTGCCCCTCCCCCAGCCTACAGCCCAGGATTCTTCTGCTACCTGTGCAGGAAGGTGGAGGGGAAATGAGAGCACTGAAGTCAGGGTGTTGTCCTGTCTCTGTACCCCATCTCTGCAGAGCAGGGGTCGGAGCAATGGAGACGCCCAGCGGAGCTGCTCCAGTCTGAAGCATGGATGGTAAGTGACTCCGAGGAGTGCCTGTCTTCAAAGGCAGTGAGTGCCCTGTTTCTAAGAGTTCTGTTCTCGTGCTCCTCCATCCCCACACCTACCCCATATCTGCAGAGCCGGGGAGGCAGGAGACAACAGAGCAGGACAGCTTTTCCTGTTCTCTCGGACACTTACCCAGCAGCAGCCACCAGCAAACACACTCTGTGGGTCACTGTCATGCACACCCAGTCTTTGCACGCACACTTTCCCATTCTGTGCCGCACACTCAGGTCTGTGTACAAAGTCTGTGTCTAACACACAGAATGTGTCTCTTTCACTCTCACACACACTCTCTCTCTCTCTCTCTCTGTCCCCGTGTTACGGACTGTGGGGGAGTCACTGAGCCCTGTCTCCCCCCATTCGCAGTCAGATGCGACTCTGAGCCAGCAATTAGAACAGAAGGTTTATTCATTCACAGGGACACAGCGTAGCACAGACTTGTTGTTACAGGAACCAGGAGGAGTCAGTAAAATCCATCTTGGGGATAGGGGGCCCCAGAGCCAGGGCTCTGGGCTGCTGCCTGGCCCCCCAAGCCAGCTAGATTCCTTTTTCCCTAAACCTGCCGAAAAAGTAAACTCACGCACCCAGCAACCAGTCCCAACCCTCTAGGCAGCCCCACCTCCTTTGTTCATATTTCCAGGCAAGGTGTTATCTGCTCTCACCTGGTCCTCAGGACCTGAGACTGAACATACTTCCACAGTGAGTCATGCCCAGCCTTCTCCTCCTCATCCAGATAGTGTTGCAGTGCCCAGGGAAAATGAGGTGCGCGCGCGCGCGCGCGCGCGCGCACACACACACACACACACACACACACACACACACACACACACACGTACTACAAAACAGCAGAGGACAGTAGAATCACATATAACACAACAAAGCGAAGAAAGTGAGTACAAAAACAGTGAATACAATCCCCACTACCTCGCACCCCGTCCCTTCTGGGGAAACCTGGCTGGCCCATGATCACATACCAAAATTCATGAAGTGGCCTCCCCTACAAAAATTATTGGCCCCCTCTTTCTCGTGACTGTCTAGAATGTCTTTATCTGTGTCTCCCAATGGATGTCAGTATTTTAATGTAAAGAAAACTGCTACTTGACTAATGTTGCTGCAGTAGCATTTGGTTCTTTTGCCCCTGTTGTTGCCAGTAGAAATATTAATGAATTTAAGGTGTCCTCCCTCCTCAGATCTACAATCTCACTCTTCTGCATTTCCCATTATTAAATAGTTCAGGTTGCTTTTCCACAAATTTGTTCCTTTTTTAATTTCTATTAAAAAGTGACAGAAATATAGTGTTTATCAGACTCCTAACCGTTGATTTTTGGCTTCAGGAGGAAGGGAAAGATCTTACTGATGTTACCCTCCATGAGCTAATGTTTACCTACTATTTGCTCTTGATATAACTGTCCATACGGTCATCCG